TAATTGCAAAAGTAATTTCAAGAATCTTAATAAAGTACTAGCATGACTGCTTAAGTTTAAAAAAAAAAAAAAATTTAAATTATCTGATGCTCTTCTAGTTCAAATATTTTCAATCTATTACAGTATTTTTATTTTATTAATCTAATTTTTTTTATTTGCATGAATAAATACATTAGCAAGAAAGTTTTCTTATAGAACAGTTTTTCTTTTGAATATACAAACTGAAGGTAATTTTATTTTATTAGTTAAGTATACAAGAATAATAATAAATTTTTTTTTATGATCTGTATTATGAGTACTAACTGTATTTTTTTTATATTTTTTAATTATTATTAAATTTGATAAATCAAAAATAAGAGAAGTTTTATTCATATTTCTAATTAAATATAAAAAATAACTATGTTGTATATATAAATTTAAAATATAACTAAGAAAATTTTGTTTTTATATTTTGAAATCTTTAGACAATTTTTGTATAATACTTATTTAATGATAATTTGATAAATTATAATAATCCAAAAAACCAACAATCCAGCTATTTGAACATTTAAATAACTGAATATTTGACAGATTTTAAAAATTAGAATGTCGAATAAATAAAACTGTCTTTATAAATATTATCTTTCAAGTAATAGTATGCTGTAAATTATGTTGTTCTATAATTCAATCAAATAAATTTTCTTTGGTCTCTGAATAATAAAGTAATTTTCTATTATATAGTTTAAAAATGATTAATAATATTTTAATTAACTTATTTTTTTGTTTATCCATTCATGTAATTGTTTAGGTTGAATATTAAATTTTCTACATATTTCTTTGATGATTGTTTGATTTCCTTCATGATTTGTGATGATATTTAATTTTTCTCACACATTCTATTTTTTTTTTAGTTTTTTGGTTATATGAACTTTTATTATTTAAAATAATCATTTTACAAAAATGTTTTTTTTTTAAAAAAATGATTTTTTATATAATAATCTTGTATGCTTAATTAAATTTTATTTTGTCTTTATGAAATTTATTACAATTGCTATATTAATATTGTATGCAAAATGAACAAGATAAAGAATATATAGTAATATAGAAAACAAATATCACAACAGCCAATAACGATTATAAATTTTTTTTCTAGTGACTCAATAATAATGATTTAAAAGATCAGTATCACGCAAGATAATTGTTGATGTAACATTAACATAATTGTTCTTATGACACAATTATCAAAAAAAAATTGAGAATGGTACATTATGCAGCCGACATGTACCATGAAAATATCAGCATGAGCTGATAAAAATTCATACTGGGAGGGTACTTTAGACCGCGAAATACGGTAATTGCACTAACTATATCAAATCTCCCGTAGATCCTGTGCCAGTGCCAGGGGTATAAGTCACATTCTAGTTACACGTAATGACAGGCAATGACGACAATGATAAAGTTATGCATCAGTATAATATAAATTGACAGAAGATGAAAAGCATGAATAAAAAAAAATGATTCAAGTTCTTCCTAATGAATTGCAAATTGAAATATTAACATATGTTATTACAGAAACAAGGTAAATTTATATCTTTTTTCACGAAAGTTGTTATTCCTTAACAATATATATATATATCGATAAATAATAGCATTCAGAAATTTTGCACTCTACGAACTGTTTGCAAAAGATGGAATGCATTTGTTCCTTTAGTGATGCATAAAGAAGTTATTTCTAGGTTAAATTCTGGTTTAAAACTTGAGGTAAAAAATACAAAATAAATTTTTTTAAAGATAAATTAAGTTAGTAAATTTAGTAGATAGGATAATTAATTACTCTTAAACACTAGTTAACGTATTTTCATGGTGTCGCGAGTTATTTTAAATCGATTCAAAAATTATCACCAACTTATGATGATTTCGCTAAGACATTTACTTTTGTATTTGATGATACTGACGACAACATTGGTGATACGTACTATGACGTAACTAAACTTCACTGTGATTATAACGTCAGTCTTACAGTATCAGTATGGATGGAAAGGAGTAAAGATAGGCGAAACAAGAGAAGTAAGCGAAGTCCGAGTAAACTTGGAAACGAATTAGGAGTTTTAACTTTGTCAAAATTGTTAAATAACGATATATATAAACATGAATTCGATCATCGAAGTAACATATGTTTTAAACGGGAGGTGATCAAGATTAATGAAGACAACGATTTTATTTACGTGAAACTTCATAGTTTTACTCTTGAAGCATGGAAGCTCTGTTATATTTTGGATTATTTTGAATTTGATACGTGAGTTATTTAAATGTTTATGTTGTAGGTGGAAACGGAATTTAGGTGGAGTCGGAATTTCCAACCGGGGTTAAGTCTCTACCTAAAAAAATTCAGGTTTATTACATTTTTCATATATTCAAAAAATTAATTACAGTCAGACCTTGATATAATCACATACCGGGGAAACAAAAATTTGGTGATTATAGAAAGTTGTGACTATATGAAGGTCAAAATTTATGTTTTATAATGGATAGGAACACAAAATAGTATAAGGTTGTGACTATATCAAGAGTGACTATAACGAGGTCTGATTGTATATTTTTGCTTTTACTATTTTATATGATAAATTTTATTAATATGCCTCGTATAAGCAAAAATACCGTTCGTTCCTGATAGGGTAAGAAACAAATATTGATTTACATACCGTTCCTGATAGGATGAGGCCTCTAAAATACTATACTACCATAGTAAAGTATATGAAGAATGTAAGGATTTTAAAACCCTATCAGGAACAGTACTCAAATAAATTTTTTCGTAACTCGGTACTGACAATCCACCAGGAATGGTATTTTTGCCTCGTATAACTGATGATAATTGATATATCGCAATTATTAATTAAATTAGGGTAGGTGTTTATGTGATGAAATCAATCCTGAAATGCTTGTTCTATATAAAAATTCCGAATCCACTTAAATTCGGTTTTCACTTACAACATATATATATATGAATTTGTTTTTGGCTTGCTTTGTTGATAAATTTAAATTATATCCACTTTACAGAGGATTTTCACGTTTGAGAAAAGGATTTAAATGTTACTATTTGTGGGATGATCTTCGCATGCGGTTTCGTACGCGGGATTGAAGAATATTATTTTGGCAGTTTCGAGAATATCTCTTACTCTTATCCTAAAAGGATTCATGAAAAGTGTAGACGATTAAGCGTATAATTATCTGAAAAATGTTTAATGGTAGCATTTTATTAAGCTCGTTTATCTTGGACGTAAAGCTTTGTAGATTTTTGATATATCAATAAAATATAGTTATTATTATGAATATTATATATGTCACTTGATGCGTTACCTTAATTGTTAAAAAAAAAGAAATATAAATCCGGAAATAACCAGCGATAATTAAAATTAGATCAGAATCCGTGTATTTTGATCCTAGTTTTAATTATTCCTAGTTTAGCATTCTTCATTATTGATTGAAGGTTTACCAAAAAACCTCAAATTAGATATGATTATTTAAGACTTCTCTTGTCCATTTATTACCATTTCATGGAACAGGAATAAGCGGTTTTCAACCACTAACTGTTCAAAATAAAACTTTTAGAATTTCATTACAGAGTTGGTTCAGTCATCATGCATATAATCATTCTCGAAAAGATACAAATTCGAGATTTTTTTTTAAACACCAACGTCCCTTGCTAAGGGTAAAAAAAACAAATCGATATTTTAACATGTGACCTCTGAAGTGATAAGAATAGACAAACGAAAAACCTTTTTAAAAAATTGCATATTTTGATTGATTAATTATCATGGGAAATCGTGAGCAAATCTACAATCATATGAATATAGTATGCCACGCATCCCAATGACATGTATCCAAAAATGGATACAGTCAAACCTCTCTATAATCGCACCCTTTGTTTTAATAATTTGGTGCTTATAGAGAGTTTGTGCCTATATGGAGGTTAAATTTTATGTGTTATATAAGCTGGTGTCATGGGTTAAATGGTCGAGTTCAGAGATGGAGCAGATGCGACAGTGCTTGAAAAACGATTATGCCGCTTAACGTTTCTCAAAGATAATAAAGGCGATTTTACGATTCGGCACAAGGTCAAGGCGATCGTTAAGGAGCGTTAAAAGATAAGTATAAGGAATTTTTAAAGAGCGTTATTGTATTGGGCGGTTCAAGGGTCTTTATTAATATTTTTATTATTATTATAGGGGCACACTTATGGATTGTATTAGATTATAGAATTCCAAACTACTCTTCAAGAAGAGGAAATTCCACCAAGGGGAAATTTCATCTTTTTTATAATGAATTTGTTTATGAGAAGAACACATACAAGATCATGATTCTTCTCATTGTTCTTATCACATTCTAATTATTTTTGTTATAATATTTTGATCTTTTCATAGACACAGTTTTCATTACTTTAACATTTATTATGTTCTTCATAGAACTGATAAGAATGTTTTTTTTTTTCCTCTTTGATGATCTTACTGAGATCTTTTTTGTATGTTCTATATTTTTGAACTAAATGTTTTCAGTATTTTTGGCATATACTAAACTTCAACTCTCTCAGTCTATACTTTTAAACTTTTCAAGAGTGATCTGTCACACCGATCTCTGTTAGAATCTGAAGGTTTTGTCAGGCTCTATTAAGAACCAGCTATCATCATAAGTTTATGTAATATCTTTCATTGTCAGACTTTCAGTCTCATATTATATCTCATGACTTTAATTATTTTAAATCAGGTTCTAACTTAGGTTTATCATCAGATAACTTCTCAATTGTAGGTCATTTGTCTTTTCTAAAAATAAGTCTGTCTAATGACATTCCAGGTTCTTGATATTGTAGTATTGCAGTTTCTTATTTTAGAAATACATTTCTACAATTGCTATTACTAGGATTTGAACCAACAAAATTACAATTTGTGATCTTGGAGCATAATTACTATGCTATTGATCCTATAAGTCATGAAAATATTTTAGTACTGTTCATTCTAAGGTTAGAATTTAACATAATTATTACAATCATATTTCTCTTGATATTGTTTTATACTTAATCCAAGAAAGATAAAATGAAGTCAAAATTTATTTCTAGTCATAATAATGTAAACAGATTGGTTCAGATCAACTTTTTTTTAATTAGAAGAGATAATAAGGTCTTATATTGAGCTTGTATACTATTATATAATTTTTTTAGAATTAGATACATATATTTTAAATGAATCATTATAAGCACTATCAATTAGATAAGTATATCATAATAATGTTTACTTTGCAGGTCTTCTAATATCTAAGTTTTAGTTCTAATATTAGTTTAAAAATTTTATATGATTATAAACAAATATAATTATAAAGAAGGTAACTATAAAAAAGTCTAATTTTATTCACAAAAACATATAATCTATTGTTTAGAGCAGTGTTGTCACAGGACAGCTCTGGACAAATTGTGGACAATTGTGAACAATTTTGAACAAAAAAACAAATCTAAATTACTCAAAATTTTATTAAGATAACCTATTTTAATTTTTAAATAAAAAATATTCAGAACTATAAAAAATATATAATCATATCTTTTTTAAACTAATTTATTAAATTTTAAAGTCTAAAAATTCTTTGGACAATTGTGGACAGTGTGGACATTTGGACGTGGACAAAGGCAAAAAAAGTCTTGGACATAGTAGATGTGACAACACTGGTTTAGAGTATAAAGTATTGACAAACATTAATCTTTTTTTTTAAATTAAAGTTCTTATCTTTGAGATGTAATGTTTTTATTCAAGTATATAAAACATAGTATATTACTAGAAATTACCTTACATTGGAGGTTACAACTAGACATACATGTATTTTTGGTGTCTAATTTAAGTAGTCTACTTATATATTACTATATAAGTTCTATACTAGATACTATACCTGCAAGCCAATTAGGGGTCTTGCCTATTTAAATCCTTTGTATATGTAATTCTTCTTATATTACAAAAACATCTTTAAGACTACATCCATTTAAGTTTTTGATTTTGGTCAGTATTCTTAGGACTACTTTATTTTCAACAGAAAACTTACTAATGCCTTTATGTTCTATATATACTGATCTAATTTTATGCAATATGCTATAGTTATCTAATACTTGTAGTCATAGGAATTATCTGTTTAACCATTGTATTACATTATTTTTATTTTTGTAAAGTTTACTAAAACCTCAGTATCTATTTTTCTGGCATCTTTTTTATCATCCCCTACTAGTCATAATTTAGAACTATCAGTCTTATTCTAGACTACTAATTCAGATAGTCTGGTATAGTATACTTCTGTATTCTTTTTCTTTAGCAAATTCAGTGATCTGATTGATTATATACTTCTCTATATATATTTGTTGTTTGGTTTAATCTTCAGTTTTTATAAAGATGCTTCATGAACTTTATCTAGTCTAATAATAATATCAAAAATTATATTACTTCTTTATTTGAGAATTTTTAATTGAGTTTTTGTCACCTCAGTTTCTTAGTTTCCTATATTTGATGATCTTATCATAGATTTGTACTGAAGTCTTATGCAATACTAGTTATACATTTCTCTATATACATGTAACATTACAGTTTGCATAGATATCCTAAGCTTCCAATATTAGTAGAATCTAACTTAGTATAACTGAGTTATAGCTATATAAAGTCAACTGATTGATAGAAGATAGTTACTATAATACAAATATAATTTTCAAATTTTATCATAGGTAGAATTTGAACCTTAAATCTGCCACTTGGAGAATGACAACCCAACTACTGCACTAGAATCACCATCTTCTATAGACATTAATTTTATTGGTTAAAATATTTGATATTTATATAAATTAACTGTTATTTATAATATATTATTTAAATATTATTTATTACAAAAAAAAAAGTTTTATTAATAAAAAAAGTAAAAAAATATTAATACATATATACAATTTGTATATTATTTCATTATTTTATAAAATATTATTTAGTTGGATTTAATAAATAAGAATTCTAAATAAGAAAATAAAAAGTTAGTAGATTTTAAATATTTATAGTATAAGAATAAAAGTTTGCCAAATTTTATATTATACAATACTTAATAAAAGTAATGCTTAATAATTAATTTTATTTATTTTTTTTTAGTATTAAGATGATTTTATTGATCTTTTAATTTTTATTAACACTTTTAATAATCTTTTTATAAGAAACTACTATACAATTAGCTATATATATAACTTTTTTATATTGCCTATTTAAGAAGTTTATTTAAAGATTTTTACTAATTATTA